ATCCCTTCTGTTTGGTTCAGATGAAGGACTCCTGGAGTGAGAAGTTTAACGAAATCGGAAGAACCGAAACCATTACCGATAACCTGAACCCCGAATGGGTTAAGAAGTTTGTCATCAGTTATAACTTTGAAACCGTACAGAAGATGCGGTTCGAGGTCTGGGACTTAGATCCCGACGGCAAAGAGTTTTTGGGACATTTCGAGACCACTTTAGCAGAGATTGTGGCCTTTTCTGGCCGTCAGTTCGTCAAGAAGTTATCGGGAATTCCGAACAGAGACTGCGGAGACATTATTATTGTCACCGAAGAGTTGTCTTCGTGTAAACAAATAGTTCAGATGCAGTTCAGAGCCAAATCATTGACCAAATTGTCGTGGATTTGGAGGAATGACCCGTTTCTAGTACTTTCGCGATCCAACGAAGACGGCACCTATTCTGTGGTCATGAAGAGTGAACCCGTGTATTCAACTCAGAGCCCCCTTTGGATGCCCATCACTATGAGAGTCAGATCCCTATGTAATGGAGATTACGACAGAACTATTAAAATCGATTGCTTTGACTACCGATCCAATGGTGACCACAGACTGATTGGTACTTGTTATACAAGTCTGCGAAGACTAACTCAGGGCCCGAATGATAACAAATACCCGGTTGTGAACCCAAAGAAGAAGAATAAAAATTACACGAACTCTGGATTCGTTGAATTGGAATCGATTGCAGTGACAGAAGAGATCACTTTTCTCGACTATATTCGCAGCGGAACTCAAATGCATTTCGCGGTTGCGATTGACTTCACGGCCTCTAACGGTCCGCCAAGAGATCCACAATCACTGCATTTTCTTGACATATATGGCGGTCGACCCAACCCTTACGAGATAGCGTTGAGAAGCGTTGGAGAGATAATACAACACTACGACAGCGCCGGTATGTTTCCGGCTTTCGGTGAGTTTGCAATTACACGACTGTTTGTAATGGCATTTATGCTAATCTATGCAATGATTGCCAATGAATTAGGTTTTGGCGCAAAACTGCCGCCAACGGGTGAAGTGTCCCATCAGTTCCCATTGAATGGCAATC